GGAATTCTGGGAGTTGAAGTCCACGCATCTTAAAGCTGCCAAGGTTGAGAAACACTGCTCTGTTTGATGGGATCTTGGGTATGCTTCTCCTGCTGGATCTGTTGGGATGGGTACGCACAACTGGGGAGAGGCTCTCTCAAATAATCTTAGCTTCTCATGTGAACCCAACTGCTGCTTCTCCTTAGCCTTTGACTATTCTACTCTCCCCTTGCAGAACAGCGCTGCAACATCTTCTACGGGGCTCCCAATAAGCCACAATACGTGTCCGCGTTGTGCTCAGATGATGTCTGCCAGTGTGCTGAAGGTAAAGTTGCCTGGACTAGATTGAGGGTTTTCAGGGCTCTGAATGAAGGGCTTCAGTGGAACGCTTGGGCACATGGACTGGCCTCCTCCTTCCATGACACAAATAGAACACAAGTTTACTTCCGTAAGATAAACCAGGAAGGTGGATTCTCAAGGATTGTTAAAACAGTGCAGCTGATCAGCTCTCACTTGGAACTACCTGGCAGCTGGACAAGACATTGTCTGAATGCTTCTCCCTTCAATCAGGAACACATTCCTGATGGTGATCTTCTGAGCTACCAGGAATACAACTGAGAAAGGAGGAATCGAAATAATATGGAGCCTTTCTAGTAATTGCCAAACCCTGCAGTGAGGCCATTCTTCTTATGATAGAGTCCTCCAACATTGTGGCTGTGCAACTTAAAAAGATAGGTGCTTTTTTAGGACTCAGTCATATATTTATGCCCTGGAGGTGATGTTTTATGCATTGTCTAGTAGATAGATGCCTGTATCATGACTGCCATGCCAGTGTTAAAATATCCACAGCCACTGGGTTTGCTGCCTGTACCCATACTTAATAGTAGTGATTTTCCTGATGGCTGAAGCCAAAATAGCTACTATATTTGGAAAGGCCCTTTGAGAATATGGGAATGCAAGAGTCCTGTGGTTTTGTTGATTTTCTCCTTTCTTTAACCATTAACAACTACCTAAACTCCAAGGTCCTGTCTAAAGAAATTAGGTTTGTCTCACAGCCTCCTAGAGCTTAGATCAGCGTTTCTCAATCGTGGCAACTTGAAGACGTGTGGACTTCAACTCTCAGAATTCCCCAGCCAGCTAAAATAGGGGTGGGAAACTTACAATCTCTATGTGGCCCCCAGCAACTCATTTCTACCCCAAGAGTACACTGCAAAAATGGCTGAATGTGGATGGAGAAATACACACTGTTTTCAAAGGACTGGGTAGGGTTAAAGGTGAGAATGGGAACAATTTATCACTCAAAAGCATCCTTCTTCCATTTCTGCTCTTAAAAAAAGGGAGAGGCTGAAAAATCTAGGCCTGACCACCCATCCAGGGGTATTAGATAACCTCCAGTCCCCCAGAAGTCTGAGAAGAGAGTTGTGGCTCCAACCCAGTCTTTCTCAACCTTGGCATCTTTAAGATGTGTGGACTTCAACTCCCAGAATTCTCCCAGCTGGCTGGGGAATTCTGGGGGTTGAAGTCCTCATGTCTTCAAGTGGCCATGGTTGAGAAACACTGGCTTAAATACTAGATCCCACCTTCTGATCAAGGGAGTATCCAGGAATTGGACCATATTTCTTCCTTCCCTCAAACAGGTGCCTGCCCACGCTTGAAGCGTACTCTTGAGGAAGCTATTACAGAAGAAATCCGCATGAACTTTGCATGTTACAGTCCCCGCGTGCACTACGGTAAGAGCTAGGATTGATCCTGGAATTAGAGATCCCCACCCTCTGCAGCCTGAATATTTTGAGCTGACTTCCGTTTTTCCCCCTGAAAACCTGTAAACGTTGCTTATTTTCACACACGGGCAGACCCAGACCTTGTAATTTAGTTCCTTGTGTCTTTTTCCCTCCTTCGGGTGGCCTCTTTTCATTTTTGCAAACATCTTGGTGAATGTTGGCATGAGGGGAGGCTCCTAGTGATCAAACTGAGACTTGCAGTTTTGCAAAATCTCTCTTTCTCTCTCTCTCTTTCCTATTGTTTCCATGGAAGGGGAACTTTTGAGTAGCTGCCGTCTCTGGAACTGAAAAGCTGTGAAAGTAAAGCAAATTGGCAAGGGAAATTAGAAGGAGAAGCACTATCTTGAGTGGCATATAAATTTGGAGGAGGGGGAGGAGGAGGAGGAGAAGGAGTGGAAGAAGAAGGAGGAGGAGAGGAAGGAGGAGGAGGAGGAGGATCATCTCAGGCAGCATATAAATTTGAAGGAGGAGGAGGAGGAGAAGGAGAAGGAGGAGAAGAAAGTGGACTGCCTTTCTCCTTCCACAGCATTATTATTATTGGGCCACTTGCCCAATAACAGTGATAACAGAAAGTAGTAGAGGTGGTAATAATGGCTGCTGTGCTTCGTGCCATACCAAAAATCTGGAAAAGCACTTGGATAGGAGTGGGCAGAATCTCAACTCTCATCAGTTACAAAAGGTTGCATGACTTGGAACAGCGCATACATCCGGACAATATCTTAACCCAAGATTCTTGGGAAGGATCCAACAGTCAGAAATCTAGATTGTGTATCAATAGCAATGACAACAACCACAAGCTAAAGAGGGTGGGGAAAAGCAGCCAGGTAGTAGTTTTTAGTCCAGCTTGTACCTGCCCAGATGGCCAAACAATTTCAGCTGGTCTGTGCCAATCATTTCAGCTCTGCCCATGTTATCTGGGCTACTGGTTGTGTGAGAGCCACTTTGGTGGTGAAGGCACCAGGCTAGAAACCAGGAGACGCTGAGTTCTAGTCCTGCCTTAGGCACAAAGCCAGCTGGGTGACCTTGGGTCAGTCCTCCTCTCTCAGCTTCAAGAAAAAGACCAGAGCAAACCACTTCTTGCCAAGGAAACTGTAGGAACTTGTCCAGGCTGTCACCAGAAGTCCAGACAGATTCAAATGTGCAGGAAGAGTTCTGAGAAAGGAAAGACAGAGAGTAGATCCACACATGGTCAAAACAGCCAAGATCCTTTTTGATGCTGGAATTAGGAGGGTTGAGAGACTGAAAAAGAGACTGCCAGGAACTGCCCTGGGGACCCTCCCTCCCTTGCCCCCATCCCCAATAACCATCCCCTGCTCTTTTTTTTTTGCCACGTCCTCGTGATGTTGCTTTCACCTCCACTTTAATCCAGTCCATAGTTGAGACTCAGTTGTCCTTAGCTGTCCCAGTTTTAGTGGTGCCTTCCCTCTTGCCCCCAGTACAGTTTTTGACATGGCACCTGTCACTTACCATCGGTTGCTGATTCAGCGAGGTTGGGACCTGCCCAGCTCCTGCCAGTCATTGTGGGTTGCTGAGGTTGCCTCCCCTCTGGTAGCTGGACTTTGCTCTTTGGGTTCTGGCTGCAAGAGAGTCCGGCACTTGGCTTCCCCCAAAGCATCTGTCCAAGGAATGCCTGACTGGCACTTTCCATAGAGTTTTTCAGGCCTTATAAACCCAGGTTGAACACTCTTCTGGAAGAGCACACTACCGTTGTTTAAACATGAATTTCGTTCTCTCTTGAAAGAGCCCTAGCCCGATGCTGCACAGAAAGTCCATTTAAACTAGGAAACAGCCAAGTTCAACTACATTTATGTTCCTAGTTGGGTCTCCGTTGGGTACTTGACAGATCTCCACTGCTTCTGCTGACAAGCTGTTTCACGTGCCTGTATGTTTTACTGTTTATTATTTCTGAAGGCTTGTGCACAAGCACTTCAATGGTTGCCCTAGCTGGTCAATGTGCCTGGGACCAGTATGAGACCTCTGCAGTTCCTGGGGTTGTTTGCACAGTGCACCACAGTTCCTTAGGTGCATCCGTGGTGGTACTGGTGGATCAGCACCATTTTCCTATTCCCTTCTGGCTTTGACCGCACTAGGCACCACGATGATAACTTGTCGTTAGGTGCACCTCAATCACAATTCCAGTTCTCCATGGCTACCACTGACTCCTTTGGGTGCTGCCAGCCTCAAGGTCAGAACTTGACTCCTTGGGTCACTCTCTGCGAGCACTGAGCATTCCCTTGCACTATTGGACCAGGTTGAAGCCTACTGATTATCAATCACTTCCCCCTGGTTTACCTCCTGCTCCCCTCCACCCCTTTTATCTGTCAGCTAGGCTATTTTTTTTTTTACTTTTGTATTCTTAAAAAACAATCTTACCAAACATTGAACAGCAG